CTTGTAGGTGATGCGAAAAAAGTAGACCGCATTATTGACAGGCCGAATGTGATTGCTGAACAGTATAGCCTCTGGGCTGTTACTGAATCATAGATAGTTTATCTCTGGTGGCAGGGTGGGAGAAGTCTTGAGGTTGACCTTGCCGTCTCCACAGCAGATGCTGGGGGACTCATTTTTTAACAGCAAGGCATATTGTTGTGATGACATACCTTGTCCATTGGCTTCGATGGTGTCCGGCATGTCCTTGAGCTCGGGTATCTGACAGGTGCCAGCTAGAATTGCCCGATGCGAAGTGACATGGGTGTGTTGAGCAGCCCTTCTGTGTCTTTTGTTCATATTCTGCACTTCCCTAACCACAGAATGTTCCCTCCTGGCAGCTGTCCTGAGGCGGTCCTCCATCCTCTCCTCTTCCCTAACCTCAGAATCTTTCCGTCTGGCAGCCATTCACAGCTGGTTCTGAAGTAATTCCTGTTGTTTTTCTACTTTTGAGCCTTGCCCTTTGTAATTTCTTCCTTTCTGCAGCTGCTTCCTGAGGGTGGAGCTGGTCTAGAGCTGTCGGGGTTGGGAAGTTGTTTGGGTGACTGAAAGTTAGGAGGGGGACTGAGATGGGGTGCGGCTGCAGAAACAGCCTGTGGCACTGACAATTGGCTCCTCTTGGCAGTGGTCAGAGCTTTCTTCCATTGAGGGGGAGTGGGTTCATGTCTGGTGGGAGCAGGGATCAGAGCGACATAAACAGTTCTTTGTCTGTTGAAGACAAAGAGATAGTTGTTTGGCTGCATGCCCACTTCAATGGCACTCCGGGCAAGGGAGTCGTCGTCACTTTTTTGAGTAGGGCGTAATAGTGAGCGCCGTTTACCAAAGTCCAACTGTGGTTGATGATTGCTGTCAGCTCAAACTGTGCTCCTTGGGAATGAGAGCACGTCAGAAGTCTTCACGATGGTCTGGAGCTTCTGAAACTCGCCTTAATGCCTGAGCCCGAATCTCTTGAGCTGAATGAGGAGGCAGTCAGGGAGCCTGCTAATCTTCCTCTGAGCATCAAACGCACTGGGCTCGCACTGCCATCTCCCTAGCTGTCATGATTCACAATGCCCCCGTGGGTTGCAGCACAGAGTGCATCTCTTCCCCTGACCTCTGCTGCAATTATCCGGTGTTTTATGTATAAACATTCACATTCTTGTAAGAAATGGCACAAAGAAGCCGTGAAGAAGTTGCAGAGTTGTAACTTTGACTTCCCCATATTCAAAAACATACACTCTAAAAAATAGTTGCTCAATATTGGGTAAAATTACTACCTTTTCGAGAGTAAAAAGGGAACATGGTCGTCAACTTGTGTACTTTTTTTTACACAACAGCTAAAGTGCAGAAAAGTACCCATTTCAGTGTAACTTTTACCCATAATTGTGTTACGTGTTTGCACAACAAAGTTGGGTAAAAAAGTTTACCCATGTGACGACCATGTTCCCTTTTTACTCAATCATTGGGTAAACTTTACCCAACCCTCCTTTTACCCAAGTGTTGTGTCAGTTTCTTACCCAGATATTGGGTTCTAATTTTTACCCTGCACTATTGGGTTCTAAATTTACCCATCACTTGGGTTGTTTTTGAATTAGTTGTTGTGTACCTTTGTTATTGACCCTTGCGGTTTTATTCAACTTGTAACTCTGCAATGTGAATTGCATGCTAGAGACAGCAATCGCGAGGGATTTCAATAACTGAGTCCTGGGTTGGAAAGTCAGTAAACTGAATAAGATGATATTTCCCCAAATATGGTGCTGATGCATGAGGACTATTACAAGGAACGTGGGCTAAATGATGGGCAGGGGTGCTAGAATTTCCCTCAATCAACTCATTCAAAAACAATTCCCCAAATGTCGGTCAGTTTACTCCGTGTTTCTAGATCTGAGAACACTCACTATACGGTACATGAAACGCATGCATCATGTGCATGGAATCGTGGTTGGCAGAGCCGTGACGTCCAAGTTGCACATAAATGTCCAAAAAATAAGCATGTTACTTCTCTAATCTCCCCGATATTAATCCTCATACATCAGCATCCCATTTGGAGGAAACAACACTGAAATTCATTTCACTGACTTACCTGGAACAAAGAAATCACGTCATCAAAATCCCCAAATTGTTGAAGGTCTCACAAGCGGCGGCCATTTTGTACATGAGTGATGACGAGTGCACAATATTGGGTAAACGTTGTCACGTGCGTCAGTTTACCCCACACGGTGGTAACATTTTACTAATGTCGTGGTAAATTCTACTCTTCAACGTGTACAATGAAATAATTGTTACACAGCGGTGGGGTAATTCCAGTTTCTTTAACCCATCACTTGGGTAATAACACCATGATTTGAACTCTTTGCCTGTGCTGCAGGGACTTGTAGTCAATGTTGGGTACTATTTTACCCTTTTCATGTGTAGCACATTTGACACAAGTAGAAGGTACAAGCGAAATTTTCATTTTGCTCAATATTGGGCAGAAATGACGCAATTTTTTTACACAACAGTTTTACACAACATAAATTTACACTTCTTTTTTAGAGTGTAGGACTCAGTTGCAAAGTTATCAAAAGCGGTCAAGTGAGTTAAATGTTGTGTGGTAAAATAGGCGTTTATGCAGGAAATGGCGGCCATCTTTGAAAATGGCAGCCACTTTAAAAATTCAAGTTGCTAATAGGATTGTTCACATGAGTAGTCCCTAAGGAGTATTTGTGCCGATTTTGGTGCTTGTATCCACATTTGAAAGATGGTGACAGTTATCTGCTGCACTAATTACAATACATACGTTATTTGAAGGAAAATTTACGACCAAAAAGGACGAGTATTAAAAAAGTGCTGTTTGTAGTAACACTAAAAGGGCCGGGGACGGAATTTGCCCCCCTCACGATAGCATAAAAAAAACTGTTCGCGACCCAAACTGTTATGACTTTTTAGCCTCGAACCTTGCGCATCTTTTGAAACCAAAAAAATAAAAATTGGACCAGGGGAAGCGAAAACCTTTTCGGCGCTACGCGCCGTGGAAACTGAATTTTCCCATATACGTCGTTTACACAGAGCAGAATTACCATTCGTACATATGAATAATTAATTACCCATAATTCCTAAACCCTTTGACCTTTGGTCATGAAATTTCTTGGGTATGCTCATTATGAGATGCTCTATGCATGTATCGAGTTTCAAAATGTGTTGTCACTGATGTCCGAGATCTTAGTCCCCTCCCCCCGGCTAAGAGATGGTCACAATAACCCGGCGTGATTAGGGTTAAGCACACTTATAGAACTGTAACTATTTAGAAGGAAATACTATATAGACTTTAAGTTCTTATGTGTTGAATATAAGACCAATAAGCGGCCGTTGTAAATGAAATTTGCATCAAAGTATATTGATTCGTGTTTCAGCAAAGTATGAATATTAAACATACGTGTTTGATTCGTTTATCGCTGTGGCGGTCAAGCCTAAATGCCGCGTTTGTTGTGAAACACTCCAAAAGTATGCAAAAGTAAATGGGAGACTTGAACAAGTTCAAGAAAATTCCCCAAATTATCGGTAAGGAAAAAAATTGACGTTGATATAATTATTTTAAGCAGCAATAATCTGCTATTTTTCGCTATTTTTCCCCTTCTCTCTTCTTTTCAAAGAGTGAACATTCACTATATTCGGGTAAAGAATTGACTAACAACGATTAAAACTAGAGTGATCAGACGATTTAGAGTTCCATCGAATATAGATCGAGTTTTCACTCAATTGATTTTCCTCCACCTATTTCAATCTTAACATTAGAGTTTTTCCACACTACAGTAGAATGTTTGGAGCTCAAAGCAAACCAGTGTTTATCATTAACTCTCTGTACTCAGCCCTTGAACCGTGGTAGAACACCAAGACAAACGCCTACGCGCCCCGGGTGCCCACAAGAGGGCGCATGGTGTATGATAATAGTGCACATGGAGTGATGCGCCCACGCCGTTAGTATTTGTACACTTCTTTTTAAAATTGTATTGGATATACTCGATTACCCCTCCAAAAGGGCGTTATCAATATGAACCGCTATTACCCAAGTGAACCACAATCTGTCCACAGTGTCTTAGGCCTATATGAATCGTGTAAATTCTCCCCCTGAAATAAAAATAAGTGCGCATGCGCTACTTCTGCAGGCAAATACAGTCCATTTCGGGGTCTCTTGTTTTATATGGGACACACCAAAAAAAAAAAGGTTGACAGGAAAGGAACTTGTACACACGTTTGTTGCATCGTGTGTGCTTCTAGCTGATTTTCGAGAAAAAAGGTGTAGAATACACATTAAGAACATGTATGCAAAACAGATCCGCGCACATGATGACACGACCAGAATGGCCCGCTGTCTATTGTTTACACTGCCAACCTGCTATGCCTATAGCATGACGTCGGTGATGAAAACAACTTCTATGTCGAAACAATGGCTTGGGAGTCCCCGTAGGATCATGATATCAGCTCTATATATTTAGAAGCCGATAACGCCCATCCTGCCGCATTACAGATCTATAGGCAAGCTGACGGTGGAATTAGTACACGACTAGTTGAAGGGTGCAAGTGTATGAGTTTGGTTTTGAAAGTTGGCGAGGAGAGTACAAAGTAATTCGCATGTAAATTTCGTAAGTAAAAAATATCTAATTAGCTAGCCTCTTTAAGGGAACATTTAAATTGCGTATTTGAGTCATACACAGTTTGCGCAATTGTGGTCATTATACGCAGACATTACTCCTCGTGACTGTTACTGACTGACTACTGTCATTTGTGACTTGGCCTGATTGTTGGCTGGTGAAGAGATCCGTGCGAAGCTGTCGTGTATACCCTGCGTAGTGAGCTCCCGCTGCTCCATGGTGTGTACACAAGATGTATAAAAAGACTGTATCAATTCTGGAGGAATACAATAAAATGTACATGTAGTAAGCTATGGGATTAGCTTTACTTAGGCTTGCCTCGTTTTGGTTTCAGGTGAACCAGTCTTGCGCAAAATGGGGAATGCTCAAAGCCACACATCCGAACCCTTTACTGAGAACGGTGAAGAAAAGTATGCCAAATTTGATGATAACTGGTTTGGACAAGGTGTTTCCAGATATGCCTACCAAGGGAGAAAAAAGCCTGTCAATAGCTGGTGGTTCCAACGCGGTGAGCGATGCGCTGTGAAACTCTATAAAGAGGGCCACATTGCCAGAATGAGAGAAGACGCTTGGAAAGCGGACCATCGCGCCTCTTCGAAAGCACAAGAAATGGCTGTGGCGTTCAACTTCAAAAACGACCTTGTAGACATTGAAAGGATTGAGTTTCTCATTCCCATCATCTCCAAAGTCAAGACGTTTGCTTCCCACAAGCAGCGAGGAGGAGACCCTTTTCCTAAAACGATTCGCGGAGCCCATGATGGAGATGCAGCGAGAGCCGATGTGATGGTCCCAGAGGGTGCCACAGTAGCAATTGAGCGTTTCCTTCCGGGACGGTACGTCCACTTCTTAAGCAATTCTGCTTACGTCAACCCCGACGAGGATACCCTAGTTCCAGAAGCCTTCTCCCACTTCACGTACCATGAATCAAACGGCGAGATCCTTGTGACAGACTTACAAGGAGTTCAAAACCCGAAAAGCTACATGTTCACCGATCCAGCAGTCCACAGCATGGAGCAACATGGGAAAACACTCGGCTGGTACGGCCCAACCGATCTTGGGGTGTACGGCGTAATATTGTTTTTTCTATGTCACAAATGCAATCACTTGTGTAAAGATTTGAAAACACCGGACTTGTCCGGTATTCCAAGTGATGCGAGGGGGGATTTAACCAAAGTAATTGAAAGTATGAAAGTAAGACGTTCTACAACTTACACATTCGAGTTGGTGATGATGTCCGGCCTTACGGCCGAAGAATTACAAAAGCTGCACACCACCATTGCCGTAGTGCTTGTGCGGGGTGATTCTCCGATTCCACAAAGGGTAAGAGAGTTCATGAATGCGGATTGGGGAGCTGTAGGGCGCCGGTTCCTCCGCAGAATCTTACCCCAAGCTGCAAATTCGGAATAAATAACTATTGCATGCTTAATGGCATGCGCGCCGCGCGAACCGTACCAGTCCGTGCATGCGGTGTGTCCCACCTCCTATACTAGGGCTTTCGAAAGATGCCGCGTAGGCCTACATAAGTATGCACTGCAGTAAAAAAAACCCAATAAGTTGGTTTAAAATAATAACCGTATAGCGATACATTTTAATGTATGGCATGCTGCCAGTTTGTGGAAATCTTAATCCTTGTTAATTTATACATATCCCTTTATATATATATCGAGGTTTTTTACATATCAAAAACTAAAATCTCCAATATCAATTCAAGTTCCTGAAATAATATAAAATCTAAATAAAATGTACATTTTGAGAAATGAAATGTATGTTGATTTTGTACTGAAAAAAAAACGTTCCAAAAGGAATTTCGTACTAATCAGAGATCGAAAGAACAATCCGTATCCCACCATTTGGAACTGTATAAGTGTCTTGAATCTTTAAATGTTTGCCTCTCCTCGTAAATATGTAGATTTTGTGTATGTCTGTATGGCTGGAAAATGTTATCATAATATTCCAATTATCCAATAATCTTCAGTATCTCGGATGTTCCATACTTGTTGAAATATACTTTGTTATTATAGTGGTGCCCGAATAACTGTTAGTCTATGCTCTATAGTACGTTTACTGAAATGTACGTTTTACTGCTACTGTTGGAAGGATCAGATATTGGAATTTAAGCTGTACAATGGTTTATTGACTTGTTTTACCTGCGCTGACAATGTCTGTTCTGAGAAATGTAAAGGAACCTCCAACCCTTACTGCTGAAGGAGTCCTATAAGTCCGATTATAATTTTAACTTTAGCAAATTCTTGGTTATCACCTTTAAAAGTACTTTCGTGAAAATCAAATCTACCATGACATTGCCGTTTAAAGCAAGTTAAATCTATTGAAACGCATCAAAATCGATGTACAAAAGCGTATTCATTGTTTACATACAATGGAGTAAAATTTCTTGATTTTTCTTATCAAAACTGAAGTCTGTATTATCCGCCGATTCCGCCCTGTTTAGATAAATTCTCGCCTTGCATTGGTTGCTATATTTGGGTCCGTATCCAGGCACAGTTTCAACCAGTGAAGTTGAACTATCAGTGTAGACTATCAACCAATTTTATACGATACTTATTTTGTAATGACCCAAATTATTTACCTTCTGATATTTTTTTACGATAACGCTGACAACACGGTGCGGCGGCCCCTGGAATTGTAAGCAATCACTGTACACATCCAGCAATCGACAGAAGTGTCAGTTGTTATTTTAATACATGGTCTCATCTGATCCAAAAAATTGGAACCTGCGGAATTAAAACTGTGTCCTGGCAAAAGAATTTAAGGTTGTAAATAACAATTTGAAACTTCATGTATGCAAGCTTAGTTTATGCAATCTTGTATATTTAAAAGGAAAAAAGGAAATTGAATCAATCCCACAAAAAAAGCTAACCAGTTTGGATTTTTATTAACAGATCTGAAGAATGGTTCGTTTTCCATAATTTTGTAAGTGCTGGAATCTCTAAATGTTTGCCTCTTTTCGTAAATTGTAGAGTATTTGAAAATCCAAGTAAAATTTTAACAAAATAACAGTTGAACACTACTGCATAAATTATGTGCAGATTTATATCGACTGATGTTCATTTTTGCATGAAATTAATCTAATTTCTTTAGATTGATCTAATTATTTTAGATTAATCTAATTAATCTAACAAAAAAAACCAAAAGAGGGAAGCAGTTAATTTTACATTTCTTGTATGTCTGTCTGTGTCAAAAAAGTATCATAATATTGCAGTATTCTATACTACATGTATACAGTATCTTTCTCGTTTGGCTTTACTACTTAAAGTTGATATATATTGGATTGAAATCCCTAAGCGGTGACTTTACAATTTAGACAATTAAAAAAAAGGCAAAACATTATTTTATGCAAAGACGTATCTTGTCAATTAATTGTATACAGTTTCTGTTGATGGTCGTTTGCATAGATTTCTGATTTTGTTTTGTTTACTACCCTTGTAAATCCTTACGAATTCACTTGCGTCATAATACTAAAGTATAAGGTAATATAACAACAAAGCTAGACAAATACACTTACCTGGGGTTTTTCCATAATGCTCAAACTAGTGACCCGCGGATGTGACGTCAGGCAACTATCAGCGTTGACCTTTTTCTTCTGGCTTCCTATTGGCTAGTTTTTTTGGGTCTGCCGTTACTGGGCTACCTTTGACCCTTTAATGTCATCAGCTCTTTGATAGGTTACTTTGTGTAAGATTCGAAGTCAAAGTGCACAGGGATCCCCTACATATACACACGCATAGTCGTGTGTAAATGCCGGCAATCGTGGACGCCCCATTGTCCCTAATCCTCTTTACTTTGTTTGTACTCTAACTTTTTAGCGACAGCTCTTATTGGTTAAATTTGTACACGATTTGAGATCATGGACGTTCGGTCAATCGTGGACGTATTGTTTGCGCCCCAATTCTTTTGTCCTACGTCCACGATTGTCGGTGTTTACATACTCATACTCACGCTCACATAGGCATAGAAGTGGGGTACTTCCTTTGTTCTTGTGTACTAAAAGTTTGTAACGTCGCACACTTATGTCAAAATGCTCTTATTTTAACCATAGTTAATTTCCTGGGCTGAAATTCGGACTTAATATCCCTTTTCTAAAACTCTTCCATTTGCAACGGATCAACCCACCTTGGAAATTCCTAGTTTTTGAGTAAAATCCATAAATCTATTTCGTAAAAAACTTGTGGGGTACCAAAACGGTACCCCGCAAGTCGGTGGGCATTCCTTGTAAGGTACCTCCCATTGTTCTGGTGCCCCACAAGGCAGTGGTTGTACACGCACTTGAGCGCTCGAAAATGATTACATCTCGTGTAAATGAGTCAAATGCCATAGTTGGTCAGTAAACATTGTTTGGGGGTTTAATTATCCGTAAAGTAATCTTAAACATTTGAGGTGTCTGGAATGCTACCAATTTGTGGAAATCTTCAACGTTGTGAATATTAAAATCGTTTTCCTAAATTATTGACTAGCCAGGTTTTTGATATACAACAAATACATTGTTTATTTGGATGCACATATCAACACTATTTGTTTTACATGTGTTCGCGATGCGTGTTCTGAGAATGATGCAGAGACAATAACAGAAATCCTTACTTCTATAGCAGTAATTTTATTTCGATTGTGACCCGTTCCTTTAACTTTAGCGCCTTTTTGGTGCAAGTTCTGTAATGAAATAAATGAATGTGGTGTGTTTCATAAAATTAAATTTTATCCTAAATTGCTGCCATAACGAATTCTTTTGCAGATCTTTTGAAATGCATTACCAAACTGTACATAAAGATGTATTCAAAGTTTAAAATGGAGTGAATTTTGAGGGTTTTTTTTACATATCGAAACCTAAAATCTCCATTATCCATTCAACTTCTTTAAATAATAGAAAATTTAAATAAAATGGACATGTTGTGAAATGAAATGAATGTTAATGAATGAATATTCCAATCCTGTAATCTTCAGTATCTCGGATGTTCCATACTGGTTGATATATACTTTGTTATTGTATTAGTACGTACGATTGTTAGTCTACACTCTATAGTACGTTTAATTAAAACTAATTTGACTGAAATTCACTTTTTTTTGCTGCAACTGTTGGAAGGATCAGATAGTGGCATTAAAACTGTACAGTGGCGTATATCTGTGTCGGCGAGTGGGGGGATGTGGGATGACCAAAATGATGGAAATGACATCTAAACTATTCAACATTTGATGAGCACGGTCCTTGTGTAACATTTTTTTTAAATTAAAACTGTTAATTAAACATTTCAAAACGATGTTTGCATATATTATTTGCAGAGTTATACGCGCACGGAAAATGTCACCCCTGATGACTGCCCTAATGACTGTGGGACGTTTTTGCTGTCGTTGTCTTTCGTTCATACGTAATATGTACTCGTATACTTGTGCGCGTGTGTGCACCCCCAATTTTTTTAACCCCCCCCCCAACAAATTGTATTGTGCATCCGACCTTGGTAATAAAGCGCCATCTCTTGTACACACGCAGAGTCCAGGGCGCCATATTTTTGTCATGCAAAAAGTTAATGGATTAACACCATTCACGCACAAAAAAAATCGTACAAAGTTGATTTTTACTTGCTTTTTAGTGCGGCCAGTCTAGGGAAATTTAATTTTACAATCATGAAAATAAACTACCGTAACTAACTTACTAGATTGACCTGAAATTTACAAATCAGCAAGCTTATAGCTGGCCTGATGTTTCGGTCTTAACAAGACCTGCTTCAGAGTCAACGTACTAAATCGTTTACCAAAGTCACGGACCTACCATTTTTTGCGACCAATTACATGTGTTCCATTTATATTGTTTATTTGAACCTACATATGTTCAAATATGCAACTTGTTTTACATGCGTTGACGATGTCAGTTCTGAGAAATGTAAAGGAACCGGCAACCTTAACTGCTGAAGGGGTCATTTTAGTCCGATTATAATTGGAACTTCAGCGACATCTTAGTTATCACTTTCGAGTAGGACGAACCCATGACCTCCTGCTTTCTAGTGCAGATGTCTTACCACTCGACCACCGAGCTAACGGGATCGGTTGGCTGGTTCGAA